AGTAACAAGTATATGAACTATAAGTAACAAGTATATGAACTATAAGTAACAAGTATATGGACTATAAGTAACAAGTATATGGACTATAAGTAACAAGTATATGGACTATAAGTAATATGTGTATGGACTATAAGTAACAAGTATATGGACTATAAGTAACAAGTATATGGACTATAAGTAATATGTGTATGAACTATAAGTAACAAGTATATGGACTATAAGTAACAAGTATATGGACTATAAGTAACAAGTATATGGACTATACGTAATATGTGTATCCCAGTGTGAATGATGAACGTTTGAACATAAATGGGCATGGCCCTGATAGATGTATTAAATATCATGCTATAACATGGCCCTGATAGATGTATTAAATATCATGCTATAACTGATAGGGGTAGTGAATATCATGCTATAACATGGCCCTGATAGAGGTATTAAATATCATGCTATAACATGGCCCTGATAGAGGTATTGAATACCATGCTATAACATGGCCCTGATAGAGGTATTGAATATCATGCTATAACATGGCCCTGATAGAGGTAATGAATATCATGCTATAACATGGCCCTGATAGAGGTATTAAATATCATGCTATAACATGGCCCTGATAGAGGTATTGAATATCATGCTATAACATGGCCCTGAGAGATGTATTAAATATCATGCTATAACATGGCCCTGATAGAGGTATTAAATATCATGCTATAACATGGCCCTGATAGAGGTATTAAATATCATGCTATAACATGGCCCTGATAGGAGTATTGAATACCATGCTATAACATGGCCCTGATAGGAGTATTGAATACCATGTTACAACATGGCCCTGATAGGAGTATTGAATACCATGGTATAACATGGCCCTGATAGAGGTATTGAGTATCATGCTTTAAATTTTCGTGTATTCAACGCCCTCGCTTTTCTTAGCGTTTAACATTCAATCAGTGCAGAGGGAGTAAGAGGTCAAGCTTGCACCTGACCCTCCCAGATCCATATGGATTTAAATCCCCATGAAGCAGAACCGCTAGGCACAGTGAGTTATCTAAAATTTGAAATCCAGTTAGTTCACAGTTACAACATTTAGTTGACTTAGCATAAAAAGACTTGGTAAATATTAAAAGTGTGGTGATACAGCGATATGATACAATATGATTTATGTATCTTCACGAAACTTGGCAAGCTTTCGGTAAACATTATAAATATTTTGTACAGAAAAAATCAGAATTTCTAATAAAGTATTTTTACTGAAAATTAATGATTCGATAAAGAAAGATAAGTACTGAGTACTACATGTTGTCTTCATTTATTTTATCAAAAACATTACATGCAAAGTAACATAACAAATTAACAATAACAAAATAGATAGACAGATATTAACTTTTTTTTATTATTTTACTTCTCTTGCCAGCTGGCATTTAGTTGATCAAACCTGAGAGTTTGGAAAAGTACTGTAAAGTGTGAAGTACTTAAATAAGACAATGTTAGTGGTTTAGATAATAAATTACAGATAAAACTGTCAAACTTTGTAACAAACCGTTGTTATAACTTCTGTATCTAGATACGTATCATATCGACCACTATGATGAGATACGAACCCCCTAGTAACTATGATGAAACCAAAGAAAAACGCCCAGGGGCAAAAACAAAAGTTTTTCTACCAAAACAAACACTAGAGAATAAAGTACATGCACAGCTACCAGATGGCTGCTTCAGAGGCGCACAGATCATACATAAGACCAGTTACAGCATGGATCAGTGTATCAAAAACACACTACAGCAAATACAAAATTATATATTAACGAAAGCTTACCGAGACCCATGCTCAACAAACTCAGTATTTCTACACAACTATTCAAACATGCCAACTCTATCAGGCAAACTCCTAAATAACTCGCTTCAATATTATAAGAAAAATATAAATAAAAAAATGAACTGATGAGAAAATCAGAGAGTTACGTAATACATGATGAACCAAGCCCTAAGTACCTCTCCCCTCTAAACATCATAAATAAGAATCGTACAGTCCAAACAGTGTTAGGCTAACTGAATCCCAGACACAAACGTTGCTCTATTTTAAAGGGGTTTTGTATGTAAAAATATCATTATGCGTGTGTATAAGTGCTAAGTGGAACTGTATTGTAAGCACAAGGACTGAAAGTGCAGTCATGCATTAGCGAAGCTCAGTGCAGTTATACTTGTTAATATAAATGATGAAATGGACGAATGTATGTAATGAAGACAAGGCGTGGGGGCGTTATAATGTGACGGTCAATCCCACTATTCGTTGGTAAAAAAGAGTAGCCCAAGAGTTGGCGGTGGGTGGTGATGACTAGCTGCCATGCTTCTAGTCTCTGATTGTTAAATTAGGGACGGCTAGCGCAGATAGCCCTCGTGTAGCTTTGCGCGAACTTCAGACCAAGCCTAACCAAAAGATAAAGGGTAAAAAGACAATGGAAAAAAAAAATACAAAGAATATTACACAAACAGATAAAAAAGTCAGAAAGTATTTTGGAAAACAATATCGATAACAGCTAAGCCTAAGCCAATTATTGAAACCATGTAACGAAGTGAGTTAATAATTAAGTGAAGTGAGTTAATAATTAAGGTTTTAGGGATGGTATAAAATGTCAAAGTCCGAAATAAGCATTTAACTTTTTTAATTACGTGCGTAATTAAGACAAAGAAAATTACCCAATGATTAGAAAATTATATTAATAACAGCTTAATTATTAACTCACTTCAATAGGACTTTTTATTTTACTTTTTACCCGTTTGTTTAATCTTCTTTGTCTTTTTTTTCCATTGTATTTATTACCTCCACGGGAAATGGAGATGGCCTGAAAAGGGGTATGTTAAACCAAAGATTGAGGACAATAGACAGTATTTAATATACAGTGGGTAAAGCAACACATTAACGGGACATTACCTAGGAATTAGTTTCAGCATAAATAGAATAACACCAACTTCTGATACGGGGGAAGAAGTCTACGCTGAACCTGGCCCACCCTGGTCCAAACTTGGACCGAATCAGAACGCAGAACTGCACGCTCGCCAGGCACTGGCACACGTGGCCCGTGCCCCGATTCTACTTGACTATGTCCCGAATCCCCAGTTAGTGTCTTGAAAAGTCAGAAGACCATGACCGATATCGTACTGAAACTCCGAAAATTGCCGCGCCTATGGTCCCGAGCCCCGAATCTTTTAAGCACTTAGCGACACCTCTATCATAAATGTCTCAATAAGGATTATCTGTACTGGAGGAAGAGATGAAATTTGCAACTGACCTCTCACAGGTCACCCGACATCTTGACCTGAAACACAGCACAGAAAAACGATCTGTTCTGTTTGACTTTTAAAGACGTTAGCAGATATGTTCATC